TTTTACATGACTATGGACACTTAGATATACACAACTATGTGAGTTTCACACTTCCTTTCTTTCATAACTCTTAAGCTTTCAAGTTTATTTTTCAGATATATTAATCATATAAGCACTTTAATGAGAACCTTAAATCTTCTACTTGATGAGGTTGTAGATATGTTCAATTTAATCACCATCATCAAAGATTTGGACAAATATCACTACCGACTTTAGGAAGTTATCGTCATCAAACACTTAAAAAGTCACTAATATAAGAATCATCAGTTTCATAGCTATAAGCAAATAGATTCACATTATCTATTTTTTAATGATGGTAATAAAAACAATATTTAAAAATTTGAAATTTCTTTATATACACAGTTAAATATTTATGAAAAACTATTATACTAACAAAATCTAATGCTAGAATATATATATATATATATATATATATATATATATATATATATATATATATATATATATATATATATATATATATATATATATATATATATATATATATATATATATATATATATATATATATATATATATATATATATATATATATATATATATATATATATATATATATATATATATATATATATATATATATATATATATATATATATATATATATATATATATATATATATATATATATATATATATATATATATATAATAGTTTTATATTACAATCTAATAAAAAAATCAAGAATTTATTAAATTATTACTATATTTTAGAAATTTATGCCTTTAAAATTGATGTGATTTAACATAATACATATTTTTGATTAATTGACATTCATTCCTTTTATTTTATTTCTTTTTATACAAACAAAGCGTAAGGGTAACTAACAGCAACTTCCTAACTACTTAAAAAACAATTTTGGCGCCATTCTTTATCGGCGTAATTTGAAAATGTACATGAGCATCGATTCACATAACATAGACGTTGAAGACGACGGCGATTCACGGTGTTGTTGTACTCACGGCCACCGTTCTTCTCTCAACCTTCAAACACAGCACGGCGGCACTATCTGCCTCGTGTGTTTCTCTAACCTCATCTCTAACCCTCTCTCTCCAACTATCCATGTCTCTTACGCTCTCTCCCAGCTCTCTCGTTCCCTCTCTATACCTCAATTTCTTCATTCCGTCGTCACTTTTCATCCCCACTTCTTCGTTTCCCCTCTCGTCACCGCTCTCTCCTCTTTTGACGACGAGCCTATCGCTGAACAACTCGTTAATCTCATCCTCAACCTCGCTGCTTCATCAGATCCTTCCGTTTGCCGTGAGTTTGTCGCTAGGATTTCAGATCGTGTTTCTTCTGGTGCTTTAGGTTGGAGTCCACGTCAGTTGCACATGGTAATTTCATTTTCAGATTCCAATTTTAACTTCTCTGTGTTGGTTGTTATTGTTAAGTGCTAATCAGGGAATATTAGTACAAATAATTTGAGGATCTATTCTGCGCCTACATTGATTAGCTGTTACTTTTTTATTGCTATTGCCGAATGCTAATTAATAAGCTGAACCTATGGATGCTGAGTATCTATTATGTTCATGCATTAATTAGCAGTTACTGTAGTACCGACACCCCTGGAAAAAGGCGTGTCAGTGTCGGACACACTGACACCGATACTAACACGACACCAACACTTGTAATTACATTCAATTTATTTGTTTTTTTCTAATAATTACTGAACATGTCAGTGTCGGTGCCATGTCTGGTGTACACGTCTGTGGTTGTGCTTTATAGGCAGTTGCTCATCAAGTGTGTTCAGAATTGATGTACTATAAATAATATGTTACTATAAAGTGAATCAAGTTTTATGAACTGTTTTTGTTGTTCTGATGCTACTGTGTGTAAAGCTTCACTGCCTAGGTGTTCTTCTGAATTGTGAAAAAGAGGATGATCTCCACGTACACATCAAAGACATATATAGTCTCATTTCCGTTCTTGTTACAGGTCTTCAATTGCCAAGGTGAAAAAGTGTTGTCGTCTTGATGTGTTTTTGTCACTTTTAGTGATTTGTTTTACATTATGCAAGTATTTTTTACTTCTCGGTGCAGTGAGGAGATTCGTGGAGAAGTCCTTTTTGTGCTTTACAAATTATCTGCTCTTGATAGTATATCAGAAGCGGGTGATGGAAGTGATATGTTGATCCCCTTTTGTCCAAAGCTTTTGTACCTGCTGACAGATGTTCTCTTGAAGACCCAAAATGATGATGTTCGCCTGAATTGTATTGGTATGTTATCAATTTTTAATTTCAATATTTTTGTTCATCAAAGAGAATGCTTGTAATTTCTTTTTTTAGATATCCTTTTTGTTTTCCCCTTTTGTTACGCCTATTTTAGACATGAAGCGACAATAGGAGATTCTCTTTTTCACCTTTTCTGTACTCATTTAGTTGCAAATAAAGATGATATTAATATTAAGAGGCCCATGTTCCAAGTCATGCATCACTTTTGATGACTAAGTTATATCATGAATGTCGGTGGAAAGGTCAACTTCCTGTTAGTATGCATCGTTAAGCATTAAAGTTGCTCGTTTAATGCACATGTGATTAACATTAATCTTTCCAAGGCGAGTTAGAAGTCAGTGTAGCCACAGTTTACCGAATAGGTTTAGTAAGATAAGATAGTTTGCTATGCAACTTCCATTCTTGTCTTATTATGAATTATGGTTAACAATAATTTATTGCTCATCAGCACTTTTGACAATACTTGCTCGAAGACAGTTGCTCAGGGAAGAATCTGTATATGATATTGGTAACATGTCTTTAGCTGGCGAAGTTAGCTCTAAAGAAACTGAAGATAGAGCCAAGGGAGCATCTCTGGTTAATCTGTTTGCTGAAGCAATCAAAGGCCCATTACTTTCATCAGAGAGTCAAGTTCAAATCGGCACTCTAGATCTGCTCTTTCATTATTTGTCTTCAGTTGGGACTTCAGGCGATCAGATTCAAGTCTTAGTGGAAGAAAATATTGCAGATTATTTATTTGAAATATTGAGACTAACAGGTGAGAACTTTATGCAAAAATTGCTAAACGCAAGCATTCCTTGCTTTGATGAAAAAGATGTTTCTGTAGCTATGAGGGAAACTTCGTAAACTTATAGCCTCATTATCTGAATAAAGTTTACACTATTCTGATTTAGCTTGGCTTATTTTCCCAAATTAAAAGTCTGTGAATGCATAACTAAATTTAAACCTTTCTGTTTTAACTAGCAGCTTACTAATTAGTTAATGAATGAACAGAGAATAAGGATCCAGAAGTCAAGATGTGCCTTCAGGTACTAAATCTTTTATCAAATTCAGAGGAAGCTTTTAGACCAAGGCTGGTTGTTGGGTTTTCAACTCTGGTTCCAGTACTGCGCTATGTGACTGAAGTTCCTTTTCATCCGGTTCAATGCGAGACACTGAAGCTCATTTATGAATGCATTTCGGAGTGTCCTGGAGCTGTATCAACTTCTCAGCTGGAGGAGCTTGTCCTTGTTTTGATAAGAATGCTTATAAAGCATTCTGATGGGGAGATGGGCATAGTTCCTGAGACATTTATAATGGCTTGCTCTGTATTTGTGGCTCTTATGAGATCTCCAACTTGTAATGGAGCTTTAGATCTCTCAAAATCAATTTTGGTAGCAGTCAAACATGCAATTTTAGCTTGTCTCTATGTCTCTGAGAGGAATATCAACCAAATTTTGCAATGCTTGTACCTACTTAATGAGGCATATGCCTACAGTCATGATGCAAACTCCACTCACACTAGCAAACTAGAACTTAGAAGCGGCGTTCTAGATATATGCAGAACACATTTACTGCCCTGGCTTGCAACAAGCATCAATGAAATGGAAGAAGAAATTATCCTGGGCTTGCTGGAAATTTTTCATTCGATTCTGCTTCTGCATTGTACTATTAATTCTAGGGAATTTGCAGAGACTTTGATGTCATTCCGCTGGTTCAGTTTTTCATATGGATGTTTGGGGTTATATGCAGGAGATAGGATGAAACAGAGAATATATTTGTTAATCGGTTCACTCATAGATTCTCTACTGGGAAATGATACTGGACAACCTATTGAAGATGCTGCTTTACATCTGCCTTCAGACCCTGTCGATTTACTCTTTATTCTGGGGCAAAGGAGTACAGACAATTTACATTTTTCTCCTTGTCAATCTGCTGCTTTGCTAATTATGTACACCAGTTCACTATACGACGAAAGGTAGGGAACTACAAAATCCATTTGAGTCTTATTATTCTCATTAACAGTTCACAGACATTTCTTTTGTCTAACAATTTTCTGATTTTCATTGCTAGACTTGCAGATGATAAGTTGGTTTTAGCTTCTCTTGAACAATATGCTCTACTTAATAGCAGTGATTTTCATGATTGGACAACTGATAATTTGACGGTGACTCAATTGGTGAATCTCTACAGTTTGTTGAGGGGTCTTGGCAATATGAACTACCAAATTTACTATAGTCGAGAAGCTGAGGAGATTATATTCCAGCTCATAAACAATGGCAAATGGGATTTACTTTCTGCAAGAATTCACACAGTATCGTTGAAGTGGTTGTTTCAACAAGAGAATATAATCGAATCACTGTGTCATCAGATATTGAAATTCTGCAGAAACTATAATTTAGAAGGGGATGCCAATCATGCCATGATTATTGGAAACAGTAACCAAACTGTAAATGTACAGACACTTGCAGAGTTAGCATCCATTGAAGATAATTATGGAGCTAGAATTTTCGTGTGCTTATTGACGCAACTCGCTGAGGAAGATGGCCAGGAACATGACATAATTTCTGTTCTGAATCTAATAGCAACTATGATTCATATATGTCCAGCTGCTTCTAACCAACTATCTTTGCATGGAATAGGGACAGCAATCAGGACTCAGTGCTTCTCGACAACAACTTTCATGCCCATCTTGATTTTAGTTTTTAGCACTTTGAGTTCAGTGCATCCTAAAACACTATCAACTGATCAGAGTTGGGTTTCAGTAACCATGAAGGTGAGTAATTGAATTTCATTTATGCATGTTACATCCATTTTCATATACTAAAATGTTAATTTATTATACAAAATTTTTAAGATTATAGAAATTTAATTACTGTCATTAGATTCTTCCATATGCAGGACTCACATTTCTTTTAGTGGCTTACTGGCATCTATATTTTTATTTGGCTGAAGTACAGTGTACTTCTGTTCTTTCCAATTTACTCCTGCTTTAGAATTACTTCCTGGACTTTCTATTTGTGCCAATTTACCTGGGTATTTATCAGATTAAATGTGGTTTGTAACCAAGCCATCTCTCTTTGACTAGGACTTTATTAAGTTTTGTTGATATGGATGTCATTTTCCCAATTTTTAAAATTTGCAATCTGATAGAAACTGGCATTGAACAGAAACAGTTTGGATAAATGGAATACTTTATTGATAATAATTCTGATGCAATTCAAAACCAGAATACTACACTTACACACCTTACAATAGCTATAAGGAAATAGTGCAGAATATTAGGACACACACACACACCTAAGATTGAGAGCTTGTTCTCTCCCACCCAAGTGTCTAACATTCACAACTTCCGGATAATCAGAACATGGCTGCTCCTATGCCTGTAACTGCTACTTGACAGCATTTTGCATGCTTTATTTATACCCCCTCTTCCTCTTAGAAATATTCTGAATAAGAGGTATAACAATCCTGAAGGATGTTATTTAACATCCACATTTTAGGCAAGGGAAGGCTGTAGTCTATATGGCAATGATTTTTGTTAGTTCTAATAGCATGTACATACCACTTCTGCAGATGATGGAGTACTCCATTCCACCAACAAAGGATGATATCTTAAGTCAAGAAAGTCTCTTCGTGATTGGCATTCTTTCATTGATCTTACATCTTTCCACCAATAAAGTACTTGAAGAGACTTCAAAGCCCATTCTTTTTAATACTTGTATAATATCTCTCGTCAATACTATAGTTTGTGCAGCTTCTTCAAAAGGGCCTGCTTTGGGTGACCATGACGAGGGAACCAGCACTGGAGAAACTTTAATATTTGTTCTCTTGCTTAATTACTTTGCTGTTAAAAGGTAAGCCCACTTGCCTCAGTAGTAGTAAAATAAAAGAGCACTTATCCTCTTCTTGCCGTGGCAATTTCTGCTTGAAGGGAGTAATAGTTAATAAAAATAGATAAATTAAAATAATGATTTGAAAATATAATGAAATTGGTGTTGAAGTTACTTAAACACTGATAAAGATTCTCAAATTGTGCAGGTGCCTTAAAATTTATTTTAGAAAAAAACAGTTAGAAATATTGAAAGATAGGAATCACAATAGAAGGCTGAAATATTTTGAGATGAGAATATATAAAAAGTAAAAACGGACCATATGGTTATAGTTTGATATTTCCAAATTGTAAACTTCGAAACCTGTCCTTAAACTGTATCCGAAAATATGTTTACATTCAATGGAGTAACACATAATGCATACTTCTTATATCATTAATGAAAGATTATATCATTAATGAAAGATATGGATTATGAGAAAACAATTTTAAAAACATACTCACTTCTTTCAATGCTGAATATATCAATATTATAATATAATTTGTTATTCAAAGTTATTTAGTTATGCTTTTATAAGAGAACATGTGATTTTTTTAAATCAAATGGGCAGGGAAAGCAGCATCCTTCCATACTATAGATGATTTACTAAGGCCTTACCCTAACCATTGTCAGGGTAATGTAAAATTAGTTCTTAACTCGATAACATCAGTGTTAGATTTGCCGAATAAATATTATTTCTTAATTAGAACCATGTGAAAAAGAGAAGTTGGTAAATTTAATTTTTAACAATCCTCAAATTCTGTTAATTTATTTTTAGCGACGACATCAATTCATTAACAATCAATTATGATGTACATGGAGTTAAACATATAACTCCTGACCCTTAAACATGGAGTTAAACTTACAACTCACTTCCATTTTTTATATCTTATTATAAATTGACAATTTGTCGGACTTGTTTGTGACTACACAAGAATTACTCTAGGAGGTATTATTTTGAGTTCTTAGCTAACATGTTACAGTAAATGCTTGTTACATTTTACTTTCTTTGTGATTTACTCTAAATGTAAAGAAATCTATTAATGTTGCAACGGAAATATACATGATTTCTAACATGTTGTCGATGTTGAATTCTCTGTTCTAGCTTGCACGCTATCCTACCTGGATTTGTGGATTGGCAAAGCTTCCTCGTTTCAATGAATTCATCTGAACCACAAGCCTTCATAGGCATTCGTTGTCATGACTTGTGCAGACTTCTGCATTTTGGTTCTCCTGTGGTCAAGATTATTGCTTCTTATTGCCTGTTAGAATTGTTCAACAGAATATCAGATCAAATAAACAGTAAACACGAAGAGTTGAAATGTACATTTGAGTATTTAATGTCCTTAAGGAATATATTGGAAGGGCTGGTATTTTATAATGACTCTACAGTGGCTACAAATTGTGCACTCTGCCTGTCGATTCTTCTGCAGTGGGAAAATCTGGCAAAGGAAACGGAACAGTTAGGAAAAAGCAGTTGGTTTAGATTGATTATAGAGGAGATGACGGTATCTTTGGCAGCTCCTGCGGTAGCATCACAATCATTCACAAACAGTCAAACGCCTGCAGTCCTTATAGCTGTCGCCCTGCTGAAACTTCATATAATTCCCCAGTGGATGAGATCTGTTCTTAATGACTCATGCATATCTGGCATACTGGAAAACCTTGCTGCTACTGATTTGAGCTCGGAAATTTTGGTTTTATTTCGACAACTTTTGAAGTCTGACTTCTTAAGTACCGAGCAAATTGCAACTATAAATCAAATACTGCAGGTAACTTCCTCATTTTAAAGCTTTTTATTTTTTATTTGTGTAAACCACATAGAAAAATTCATCCACCTGTTTCAAATCTGAAAAAAAATTCTTCCACGTGTTTCAAATCTGAAAAAATTCTTCCACATGTATTAAATCTATTGGTTTTTTTTTTTGAATTACATAGTTGTGCCATTTATGTTATTCACAGGAATGCAGACGGCATATGTACTCTAACAATGCTCAAGACAGTCTCCCAAGTGAACCCATAAAGAAGGTCCTCGCCATGCCATATGATCTTGGAGATATTTGCCGGCATCTCATTGATTTGATGGCATCTGAGGCATATTTAGATATGGATTTCTGGGGATTTCATATGGGTAGTAAGAGGTTGTTGGAAGAAATAGAGTTGTTTTTTAGCACCTTGACTGTAGATGACGATAGTTGTAGATAACATTAGTGATGATGAACAATGGTAGAGCCTGGTCCGTTTTATTGAGGGGGTATCTATTTGCTGCAAACTATTTAATTTTCTTTAGAATTTGTAGCTGTAAAATAGAGAAATGGCTAACTCTTAATAAACCAAAACTGACAGTAACCTGTCTAAAGATTAACAGCATCTATGTTATGTTCCGCACACAAGTTGTGGAAAGCAACTCAAGCATTTTGTTTGCCCTTTGTGTCCCTATGCGTAATCTAGAAATACAGACTTCATAGCAAACCCAAGAAAAATATTTGATTATCATCTACTATTATAAGGTGAGCTAGTAACGGATGCATTTTTGTTTGAAAGACACTTTTGCTTTTTTGAGAAGCAAAAGGGCAAAAAGCCCAGCTTGAGAGTCATTCATTAGTTAAAGAAACTATAATAAAAAAAACTATGGAGTTACCTTATAACAAGACACTAGTAATACAATAAAACCCATGAAACATGAATTCCTATGATACATAGGGACGGCTACATACCCGGTGCGGCTACCAATACCGATACGGGATACAACATTTAAATAAAAAATCAAGATAAGGATACGTTAATAAAAAATAAGTATTTTTTATAAAATGTATAAGTAAAAAATTAAATAGTTTGGTTCATAACAAAACACATTATAAAAAATTGAAAAAACTAAAAATAATGTTAAGAGACTATAACAAAAAAAACTAAAACACATAAATATATTTTATTAATATTTGAGAAAATCACAAATTTAATTCAAAATTGAATAATAATAAAAAAAAAATAAGTACCACGAGATGGATTTTAGTTAAATAAACTATTATCAAACAAAAATGGCACATTCAGTAGCATATATAATTCTAGTAGTAACGGTTCTCGATAGAAAATGCATCAATTACATTAAAGTTCTTAATAAGACATATCTCGAGCATTAGTTCCACAAGGACGAAGAGTATTTGAGTATGAGATAAAGCGGGGGTGAAGTCCACACTTGTGCTGACCTATTTCTTCGACCATCATACATTCTTCATCACCCACATCACAACTATAAACATTTTCTTCGGTTGCAAAAACTAAAAGATGGCCGTTCATCACCATAAATCCGGTAACATTAGGATCTTCCTCCTTTAATCCCAATGCTTTCACTCTGATTTTCAAAATCTTTTGCCAAATACCTAATTCATAATCTCTTAAACACCACACGGTAAAGGCAAATTTCTTCAATGTCACCAAGCAAATGGACTGATTTGAGCTTGATACTTTGCCCCAATTGAATATGCCCATGTTAGAGTCATGACAACCTTGTATAGCTTTCCACGGCAACTTAAGCATTTTTGAATTTCCATTCTCTAAATTATAAGACATTATATATGGCTTATAAAAAGTACTTGATTTTGAAATGTAAGGACCGTTATCTGAGATAAAATGAAGTGCTCCTTTATGAAACACGGGCATGTCAAATTTCATGTTCCTTTCACCGGGTGAAAAATTATGTTCCATTGTTTTCCACACACCTTCTTTTCCATGATAAACATTGCATATATAATGGGTTGGCCACCAATCTAATGTAAATTCAAAAAAGAACACTGAATAATCATCATTAGAAGATCTCTGAGAGCAATCTAACATAAGATTTATACTACAAAAATTACGATTTTTTTGAAGTGACTTTGGAGTAGGAATGAAAAAGCAAGACTTTGTAATTGGGTTGCATATAAACAACTCAATTGAGTGGTCATTAATTGTGTGACAAAGAAGCAAACCATTACTTGAATCTAATACACACACCGAATTTGATAAGAATGCAAGAACATTATAGGGGACACCCGAAGATGGACGCTCCTTAGGTAAAGAAAATAATTCAACTCTTTTTTCATACCTTTGACTAACTTGATTAGGTTGAATAAAAATACAGGAATCATCGGTCTCCAACAAATTAAGAGCCTGTTTTGTTTTGAAAAATGTTTCTTTTGAAAAGTTTGATATCGAAGTGCAAGTTGATGTTAACTTACAAATACTTTTTGCAGGTAACCATGAAAATATCTCAAAAGCAATGTCTTGTGGCACTTCCATATTAACAGGAATAAAAAGAAAAATAATGCAATGGAAGAGGATGAATGAGTTAGGGTGGTTTTTCCTTTCTACGACCCTTCTTTATATTTGAGACAAAGATGATTTAAGAAACTAACAAGCTTCTTATATTGTTTTGCTGAACCTAAGAACCGCAACTAATTACCAGTTGTTTATTGAGTAAAACTTAGACTGCAAGTATGCAAGTAAATAAAGGCTTAAATTTTTGAAACAAAATATTATAAACATAATTTAGTTTTAAAAAGATTTAATTTTTAAAACAAATTTATAACAAACTAGATTTATTTTAACAAAAGAAAAAAATTATAAATCTAAATGTAGAAATAAACGACTTGCAAATTAAATCAAATAATCAGATTTAATTTCTTCATATTTAACATTAAACATTAATAAATACAAGACTAGGATACATGTACTCTATCTTAAAAAAATTAATTATTTTTAAAAAAATCACTTTTAGCACATACGGATCTGCATCTTAAAATTAAATTTTATCATAAAAGAAATATTTTTTTAATTTATCTTAAAAAATGACTAAAAAAATTAACTTAAAATGTTAATGTTTCTATTATTTAATTACATCTGCGATATAAAACAAAAAATCCTATATTTAAGTGCAACGGAATTTAATTATTTGATTTGATCCACCTGGAAATCCGAAGTATCAACTGAGCACCGATAATGGCGGCCAGGCCACCTGTTCCGTTATTTCCGGAAACAAACAAAATCAGACTCTCTCACTCTCCGCATCTTCTCTCTTCTTCCAATTTCCGTTACAATTTCAGCGCAAAGTGCAGTTTCGAGAATCATCGAAATTCCACAATCGAACATTTCTCAAATATGAATAGAGATTCGGTTCACGGCAACAATTCTTCATTTTCTTCCTCATTGGTCTCTGCTTCTTCTTCAGCTTCTCAACTCAATTCGAAGAATTCCAAGAAGGTTGTTCTCTTTTATTCTGCTGAAACCAAATCACTAGCTTACAATATTGCCTCTGAATCTGATGCCATTGAACTCCGATCCATCTCTTGGGGGTTTGTTCGTTTTCTTCCTCATTTTCATTCGCATTGCTACTTTCAATTTTCATCAATGTGTTGCCTAATTTTCTCTAATTTAATTGACATAGTTTTGGATACAAATTTGGAACTAGAATTAGACCTTGTTTGGTTAAACAATTTAATTGACCTATTGTACCACATTATAGTAGAGTTATAAGTTGTTTTCATAAACTATTTTAGAGAATTTATTTTAAAGCACTGACGCTGGAAACACAAAACCGACACTCACGTCAACACCACTAGTAATAATTTGAATACGTAATTACAAGTGTCAGTTTCTGACACCGACATTAACACAAACACATTTTTTTTCCAGAGGTGTCAGTGCTATTATGTCTTATAGACAGTCTTGGAAGTGCTTATGGTAGCCGGTATAATCAAATAAGTCAATACAAACATACACTTATGACAATAATGTTGAGTTTAAGATTTAGAACACTACATTATGAGTAATAACCTTGATAGCTCGATTCGCGTAAAGGCATTTCCGATTCGGTTAGTACAAATGTTGCGATACTGATTGTGGTCGTCACGCTGTGAATTGTCCACTATTTCTTTTTCATCATTAAAACAATGAATGACGGTATTAGTATCGGTTGTTTGTGTAACGGACCGTTTTTTAAAACCTTCCTTGTGATTGAGATTTATTGAAATGCTGTTGCTATGGTACATTGATTCTTTTTTTTAGCTTGTTGGTGTTTTTTAGTATAGTTTGTTGAATGGTTTCACTGAAATGCTTTATGAAATTGAAAACTTCAGCAAGTTTCCTGACGGCTTCCCCAACATTTTCATTCCCAATGCTCAAGGCATTCGTGGACAGCATGTGGCTTTTCTGGCATCATTCAGTTCTCCAGCTGTGATTTTTGAGCAGATTCCTGTTATTTATGCCTTGCCGAAATTGTTTGTTGCCTCATTTACACTTGTGCTTCCGTTTTTCCCAACTGGAACTTCTGAAAGAATGGAGGATGAAGGTGATATCGCCACTGCTTTTACTTTGGCCAGGCTTTTGTCAAACATACCGATTTCTAGAGGAGGACCGACGAGTTTGGTCACTTTTGACATTCATGCTTTGCAGGTGTGCTATTGGTTGAATTGCTTTCTACAATTGTTCTAGGCGTGTGTTTGGGTGAATGTTTGTCAGTTGTGATTTTGAATGAAATATTGATTTAGAACTTAGTGTAAATTTTTATTCCTAACACAAAACTACACTTTATTGTTGCTAATGAAACAGAGTTTCAGAGTCAAAAGCAATTTTTTATTCAACAAAACAACAATGTTTGATAGTTTCCAATGAAGCCAAACACACACTTTGTTGGTCCATATGCCATTCTTTATATCATGAAATTCCTGCCCATACTTATTTGATTATTTGTTATAATTCAGGAGAGATTCTACTTTGGTGACAACATATTACCATGCTTTGAGAGTGGCATACCATTGCTTAAAAGAAGGCTCCAAGATCTGCCTGATTCTGACAATGTTAGACTTTCATTTATTCTTAACTCTTCCCTTTGCGACTGTGTTTTTTATCTACTTTTTCAAATACTGTTCCGATTTTCCCTTGCCTACTCGTTGTCATGTAAAATACTTTGAGCTTATTATTTTGCTCCAATCAACTAAACAAATTTCCCTTTGTTTTAAATATTGCATCTGGTATTTTCCCTTTTAGTCGGCACTCAATACTCTTGATTAATCTTCTATAGTTTCAACTCTTGATTAATCTTCTATAGTTTCAACTTATACTGTAACAAGCTTATATTTTATAGATATTGATTGAAAAATTGAATGAGGATGATCCTTTCACACTATCTCATATCAACGGAAATTCTGGCTTTCTTGTTTCAGATATCAGTTGCTTTTCCTGATGACGGGGCCTGGAAACGGTTTCATAAGCAATTGCAGCATTTTCCAACGGTATTGCATATTTTTAATCTAACAATGTTTCCTAAATTTTGTTGAAGTCATAAATATAACACTGGTACTAGTCTAGAAGCTACCAGTGTGAAAATCGTACTAACTTGGAGCGACTTTTCTGTATAATAGCACTTACACAATGCATATGCAGGTAGTTTGTGCAAAAGTTCGTGAAGGAGATAAACGAATAGTTCGAATTAAAGAGGGAGATCCTAAGGGTCGGCATATTGTGATTGTTGATGATTTGGTTCAGTCAGGTGGAACCCTGATAGAATGCCAGGTATGAAACATCAATGTAAGCCAATTTCTACATGAGTCGGAAATTGGAAATCTTATACTTATAATAGAAAACGTGCGTCCTATTTTTTCTTGGTAACTCGTAATTTTGTCATTTTTCAGAAAGTTTTGGCAGCTCATGGAGCAGCAAAGATAAGTGCTTATGTGACTCATGGCATTTTTCCAAATAAATCATGGGAACGCTTTGGGCATGATAATGGGGGTAATGCTTGCTCTCCTTTGCTCAATAGTCCTTTTTTATTAGGAAACATGTTAACCTAATTTCTTACATTATTTCTGACGTTCCGTGCGCAGGGAACCCAGAAAGTGCATTCACCTATTTCTGGATCACAGACTCATGTCCCTTGACAGTGAAGGAGCTGATGCATAGGGCACCATTTGAGGTTCTTAGCCTAGCAAGCTCTATATCAGCCAGTCTTCAAATCTGATGGGAATGTAATATTATAATTTCATCAAAATAAAATGGACACAAGAAGAGACATGGTTAAGGTTAGTAGTAGAAATAATAGTGAGAGTTTTAGTTGAACTCTTTTAATTTGCGGCTCATAGGCGTATAGAACTTCCAATTGAATAAAAGCTGGTGTATTTTGGTTTATTCTTGTTGCTGTTTCCCCTCCCAAAAATAAAACAGTTTGATTAAAATGATTTATAATATTTTTTTCTATATTACATGCTGTAGATACTTGAAAAACAAATTCCAAAGAAAAATTAAACAAGAAAAAAAATCATCTTTTATTAATATATCACACTATCATAACAAAACAAAACAAAAAAAAACAAAAAAAAATTGAATTAAACATAATGACAATTTTTAGATACATATATTAATGAACAACACACATTTAAATATTAGTGGCCCTGCAAGTCTTCCTCACTTCACCATCGTTTCCAGTAAGAACATTCAAAGCACCCATCTTATCCATAGCCTCAGCAAATCTCTTTTGCCACAAACCATTCTCAGCTGCCATCTTCGCAACAATAGGAATTGTTCTAGGATCATTAATCAAATGAGAATCTGTAACCAATACCGTCCTGTTCTTCGTCAGCATATTCTTGTAAAACAAGTTATCAAGAACTGTTGGTGTCTCATCAAAATTCACAGGTGGGTTTCTAAATTGCCGTGTCCCAGCATCCTTACAGATACCTTGAAACTCTTTTACCACTGGATCCGGTAGCGTAGGGTCAGGGTTCCTCGTGTTTTTGTAATTAAAAACCCTTTCCATGAAAACATCACAATGAGCTGAACCAATTGAATGTGCACCGAGTAAGATAACCATTTCTTCAATTGAGAAACCTTTTTTTATGAAGAGTGAAACCATTTTTTCCATTGACCAATTAGGCTGTGGGAGATTGTTGTCCTCCGCGATGGATGCGAGAGAATAGACCGAATCTCTGCGGCCGCCAAGAGCCACTCTACGAGGCAAACCAGAAAGGTGCATTCCTTCATTGATTGAGAATGCTAATGTGTCTGAGCATGACACTATTCCTGGACATAGTTCTTCTAGCTTTTCTTTTATGTCATCCACTATGTCAGCTCCTTTGAGAAGTTGACCATTGAACATTGAACTTTTCTCTACTTTGTCTCCTGTTGGCGAGTAGTCTAGCAAGATTGATGCATCACATCCCTGTTTTTTTCATCATAACCAAGCATGATTTTAGAACATAGATCATAGTATGGTTTAACATTTTTCTTTCCTCATAGTAATGAATATACAAAACATAATGATGGTTGGAATATGGAAAAGAAAAGCTTACAACAACGAAACAGTCATGAAATTGAAGACGAACGAGGTGAGCAACTGCCTCTGGATTAACCTTAACAATTTCAGCAAGAGCACCAGCAACGATTTTCTCAGCATCAGGACAAGTTTGGCTATAGAATCCTTGCTTAAGTTTAGCTCTATCATCAACCGCAACCTTTTTAATTAGCTTTTCTGCATCGAAATTTTCTTTTCCATTTTCACCGCCAGCCTTTAAATCTTCGATTTCATTGCCAGACTTTAAATTTCCGAATTCTTCTGCATTATTACCATCATTTCTCAAACCAGAATCAAGTCCAAATCCAAATCGAAAAGCTATAGAAGGAAAAATAACCAAGGTAAACAAGAGAAATGTCTCAGGTATGATCCGTGCCATTTTTTTTCTAAATGTTGAAATGGATGTTCAAGGTTTACACCGAATAAGAACAGAGGTAATAGAACCTTTTTATAATCAAATGTGTTTTGTTATATTATTATTTATAGACAGGTTTCAAATAGTTTGATTGAGGTGTAGCCATAACCAGCTCTAATAGTTTATAGACGTTGGTTATATATAGTCGGTCTTACATTTTATTGGTTGCTTTCTTACCCGTTGGAATAGGAAACCAAATTTAGCAACTCATGCAGCTTTCTAAACCTATGTTTTTTTAGATATCTTAACGAAAATATAGTTTTAAAATATGTACTGGCTATTGTAATGATGGATCTAAAAATTTGTTGAAGTGGAGGCTCATAAGTAGTTTATGATATTTTAGTAAAAGAAAAATATTAGATTAAAGGCTTAAATTAATCTTGAGAAAAGTGGTAAAGACATTTTGAAAACTTTGTTCTAAAAAAATCATGAATTGCATAAGTTAGTCATTTCTATTAATACACAAGGATTTTATTTGATAATATTATTATTAATTTTTACTATTCCAATTTTTTTATGGTCATTTTAATATAGACTTTTGAAAAATATTTAAGAATATTCATTTATCACGTTTAATGCAACAAATATATTTTTTTTATTGAATTTTATATAACAAGATAATAAATCTATCTTTAAACCTTTAAACCGTGTTCATATTTAATGAGTCATTTTTTTAATAGATTTTTCTACTTTATAATAGAAATATCTATGCTCTATCTTTTAACTATGTTTCTCTTTATATCTTAAATATCCTCTAAACCAATTTTTTTTCACTTCTTTTTATGACTCCCCTCTCAATTTTTTAAGTTTAGATTTTTCTTACTTCAATATAAAAAAACCAATTAGTTTTATTTATAAGTGCATTTATTCACAACTGGCATTTAGAATTAAATTTTTTAATTTATTTTTGTTGAATCCGTCTGTTGACACCAACCTTTTTACTCTCCCCGCACGTTTTATTCTTATCTTTCTTCGATTAATCACTGCTTACCAGTTGATGCACCGAGTTTTCTGTGTACCTTACCTTTATTTTGATTCTTATCTTTTACCCTGTTTTTCTCTTAGTTTCGTCGTCATTCTTTTGTTTTTCTCCTCAGTGGAGTCATCTCTTTTCTTCTGCATTCTCCGATAGAGTTCGTACCTTACTTCTCCTTTCCTCAGTAGAGTTTTCCTTTGCCTTTTCCTTGGTTTTGACATCATTCCTCTTGCATTTCTCAGTAACACATAATGTGAGACTTAAGAAACTTTTTTTCTTTTCAAATTCATCTTTCTATATTAGAATATTGACATTATATTCTAATAATCTTTCACTTGAATTTTAAAAAATATTTCAGAAGAAACAGTGACAGATTCAAAAATATTCTTTAATGGAGACTAAAAATAATAGATATTTTGTATAAAAAATACTAAGAATATTTATAAAATACATTATTATAAGGACCAAACAAACTCCAAATATAAAAAAAAAGCTTTTATAAATTATAATTGTTTACTTTAAATTTATATATTCTAGAAATGTTCAAAATTATTTTTTTTAATTTTAACATTATTAAATATTTCTCTATAAATAATCATTTAATCAGAGATTCCTCATTGCACATTACTACTATCACTAAACTTTTAAATGAAAGAAAAAAAATTAAATAGTTGCATTGTTATCAAACATCAAACATCAAACAAACAAACAAAATATTTCTTCAAACTTGCACACGTTGATGACAAAAATAAATTGTGTAATCATAAGAGGAAGATATTAAAAAATGATTTACGTTGTTATAGTAAAATAAAATAAAACATCTATAAGTTAATGAGAAAATAAGAGTAAAGTTAAACTGGGAGTGTGTGGCGATTTTAATTGAAGAATGAAATTACCTACAAAAGCATTGTAAAAAGAAAATTGAAATAGTATAAAGTTAGAAAATAGAATAACGAGTTTTTAAAATAGATAAATGTAACTCAACAAGTTTAATGGGTTCGAAGATAAAATACATTAATACTATCCATTAGAATTTCAATTTTTGTGTGGGGGCTTAGCCCTCAATGGCATAAGCTTGGATCCGTTCCAGTTTAAAAACAACGTCAAACGTTTATAAGATTGTGTATAAGTAAATATATCTATAACTTAAATCTTTGCATAATAAGTAAGATTTCGATTCAATAAGAGTGACATGATTGTCCTAAACTTTATCTCAGACATCAAACCCGCATACAACCTTTTCTTAAAATGTATTCTAATAGCCCGTACTTTAATAGCCCTGCGGGTGTATTCCGGTTTAGTGAAGACTCTAGAAATTCTGCCTCGAAATTCCCTAGGAACCGACTGTCGCGGTGAAGAACCGGAGACCATAGCTATTGGTTACCTAGACTCACAAAACATAAGATGTCATCGCCGATCTTTTATTTATTCAAGGGAAATAAATAAACCCTAAAATAAACATGTAAAGTATAAAGCAAGGCTAAAAGCTAAGCAAAATGTGGTATTTCAGATCGAACTCTAGTGTCGACAAGGGTAGCTTGATATTTCGACAGGAGTTGTGCTTGCTGTAGTCGAAGTCTGTTCAAGCATGCTGTCAAAATATATTAACTTGTAATTTAAATTAGTATGTCGAATTGAGTCTTGTTTGCAAGCCCAGTTATTTAAGTTAGCTTGTGTAATGAGTCTGTATGTAAAAACTCATTAGGTTAGTATGTTAGTTTTCTTATAAATAGCATGCTAGTCTCTCATCTTTGTAAGGGTGGTGGAAATCCTAACTAGGGTGAGAGTGGTCAGATTGTGTTATTCACTTATAATCTTTTGTAATATTGAGAAAGTGAATAATATAGCAATTTGCACTAATCCTTATTCTTCTTCTTTCTTCTTTATCCTTTCTTCTTTCTCTCTTTGTTCTAACCATTTTTATTGTTCACCCAAGAACTCCATTTCTCAATATTGATTTGTTGAAAGGTATCGTTTGTGTTCTAGCCTGGGCCTCGGCTTTGCCGGGCAGGCCCAGCCCATTAATGCTTGGCAAGGCTCAATCTGGCTTGGCCTACCGTCGTCGAGCACAAGGTTCTCGTTGGGCAGACACAGTTCCCCTCGGGCAGAACCTTCCCCTTTTGTCGACCAGAACAACGTGTCCCTCGCACGTTCTCCACGTGCTCCCCTCCGCGGGGATATGTCACTTATCAACTGCCCACCCCGGAAGAGTAGGTCAAACCCACTTTCCGGAGTTCACGAAGCGGTTGGACTAGAGCGAAGACCACGTTCCGGTCTTCACTACGACACGTAAGCCCTATCAATCATTTGGGTTGGGCCTGGCCACCCAGCCCAACTCAAATGACCGTTAGCCCAGCGCTGGGGACTCTCTATAAATACCCTCTTCCTCAAGAGGGTCAGATATTCTCTTATTACCCCCTTTGTATTTGCCGTCACTCTGTCCAATCTCTCACTATGGCATCAGAGTGTCTTGCAGGTACACCCCTCATCTTCTCCTCAAACACCGTTGAACAGGCGATTATCTAGCAGAGTACGACCAGTCAGCGATCCCCTTCTGATCAGGCCAGATCAGTTTTTTATCACAATAAACTGGTGCAAGGAGCGTGGAAGAGAAAATATCGTCAACAAACTATGAGATTGAGAAATTCATTGGTGTGAATTGTAACAACTCATTTTTTCAATAATCATTTATTTATATTAATTAAATGATTTATGAGGATTGTTTAATTAATGGATGACTAATTAAATGAATTAATAGATTTTGGAGAGAATTAGAAGGGAAAAACATAAGTGAAAAGTGGAAAGAAAAGAGAAAGATAGAAACATAAGGGAAAGAATAGAGAAAGAAGGAGAACGAGGAGAAAAGAGGAAAAGTTGGAAAAGCTCAAGAACAACTCTCAAGCATCGATTTAATCAAGGTAAGGGTGTGAAATGTTGTCATTCTATCAATGTTTATGATTATGTATGTGTTTTGTTTGATTGGTTTGGATTTGTTGGGGGTTTCTACTCATTTCCCATTTTAGGGCAGAAATGAGTTTAATCGGTAGAAACCGAGTTTAAACGGTTGAAATCCGAAATTAATGGCATAGTTTAGTCGGGTGATGTTGGGCTAAGGCTACTGGAGTTGATTGGAATGAAATCGGTCGATTTTATGAGGATTGGGTGATTTTGGACAGCATAGGGTTCTGAGTTCGCAGATTCGCCATTGTTCGCCAGGCGAGCAGAAGCGAAGCTTCGCCAAGCGAATCCCAGCGAGTGGCTGGCGAACCATTATAGAAGCAAAACCCAGTCTTCGCTGGCGTGTTCGCCAGGCGAAGGAAGGTGGCGAAGGTTCGCCAGGCGAATGAATCAGCGAGTGGTAGCGAATACTTTCAGTAGCTACTGACTATGTTCACCAGCAAGTTTGCCAGGCGAATGAGGCAGCGAGCATTCGCCAAATGCTTCGCTAGGCGAAGGGTAGCGAATGTGACAACAATTTCCATTTCATGTGTTTTCCATCCCATGGTTATTTGTTTGGTTCAATTATGTTTAATTCTTATCGAAATGAATAATTGTGTACCGTTGTGGTATGTTATGATGTGGGTAGCCTTATGGCGTGAATGATTGTGAAATATGGTCTTTTGACAAATATACATATATGCATGAATTGAATTGAAAATGCATGATGAATGTGATTGAGTTCTTTGCCGTTGGCATAACATTGTGTATGCATATGTGTGTTGCACCCCAAAATTTGACCAACCAATTATCGCATTTGGCTTATGTTTCGACTCATTTTGCATGTTGCATTTGCATACCGCGTACATTGCATTTTTTCAGTCAGATTGACTTCATCGGGATTACAGCCCTCCCCTGGCGTTTCAGGCATTTCATATCAGTTCGAATAAGCGAGTTTTGTTGTTGAATTTATGCTATTTCTGGTGTTTTCGGCTCTTGCTGTTGTTTTTGAGGATATTTCGGTGTCCGGTTTTTACCGTTTATTTCGCTA